TTGTACACACACACACTGAAGGCTCAGCAACTTAGACAACATAAGCAATATGCGTTTGAGTATTTGACTGTTACACATTTCCATGTGACAGCCCACTTAATTTGGCTATCATATGTGGCCAGGTCACTTCTGACAGAGCTTGCTATACAGTATAGCTCAGTGGGCCTTTCAAGTTCAAGTTCATCTATTAGGTATAGCCCTGTGAGCCATTCGGCTCTTGAATCGGGTGCAACCGCAACAAACAAAAACATGAACAAGAAAACATCTTAAAGTGACTGAGTGCAAACAGAAAATCCAAGAAAAGACAACAAAATATTGCAGAAAAAGGCACCGCACACCAACACTGTGTGCAAAAATCCCAGTGGGATGCAAGTCAAACAACAACCACAAGACAACCTAGATTAAGGCCATCAGTCTAACTCTGTACTACAACAAACATGCCCAAACCAAAAAACTTTTCAAAAATCACCAAAATAAAGCCATAAACGCAATTCTTATTGCGTTTCAAAATGGGTCACAACCAATTGCACCACATCAACCACTTCCCCCCGTCACAAAACCACCTTCAGGATGTTCAACTCAGCGACTAGCAAAGAGTTTTGAAACACAGCAGGAAACATCTGTGGCTGTTCTACAAATTGCAGAGCGGATGTCGATTGGAACAGGTGGTCGTGCAATGTCATGGCACCACCACCATGCGAAAACTACAACTAAATTCCCACCAAACTCCACACTAATTCGGAATTAAAAAGACAACAGCTCGCAAATTACGGTGAATAAAACCAAACCAACTCGTGACTTGTTACACTGAGATCTACTCGGGTCTCGACAACTCACATTTTAATATCTTTGCCGGTATCAAAATGATGTGAGAACAACAATTCGCTGTGCCCTGTCCGACAACACGACACCATTTCACGGCTGTCTGTGGTTTACCACTCACACAACAACCACGTGGAGTCCAACACCGCCACCAACGTGGGTGGCTAGACAAACAACAATAACAACAGCCAGACAACAACAACAACAGCCACTGGTGGAGGAACAAACAAAGGTCCCCCGTGTAGCCTTAACAGGCTGTTGGGGCAAGTGCTGTTAGCGAGCAACAGCAGCCACAGTCGGGCGAACGGCTGTCCCATGCGCCCAGAGAACTCCCACCAACACACAGCATACACACACACACTACAACACACACACAACACAACTCACACTACAACACACATAACATACACACAACATACACACACAGCATACTCACAACACACACACACCACACACAGCACACCTAACACCATACACACACAACATACTCAGAGCACACACAACACACCCACACACAACATACACAGCACACACAACATACACACAACACAGGGCAGCAGTAACACAACTCTAACAAAACACACAACTCTTGAGACGACCACCACCAGCAACGTGTTCACGTGTCTCCTCCTACCTATCACGGTCTCTTCGACGTCGTCTTCGTCGCTGTCCATGGCGCGTCACCCTCCTCCTCCTCCCCCACAGAGCCCAGGCCGCTCTCTTAATCTCTTAATAAGTTTGTACAAAGTTAAGGAGGTTAAAGACAATGAACAATAACTAACTTTCTCGTGGTGTGCGTGGGGGAGGAGGATGAGGGTGGTGTTGGTGATGGAGAAGACGCCGGCAGGAGGCAGCAGGGAGGAGGAGGGAGGAGGGCAAATGGAGGAAGGGCGAAGACGAGAAGAGTAGAAGCCGGTCGCTTGGAAGATTTAAAAAACAAACTCAACGACTCCACGACGACTGTCCGTAGAGAGATGTTTGTAGAGAGATGTTTGTAGAGAGATGTCTGTAGAGAGATGTTTGGAGAGAGAGGCGATCAATGTGAATGAGGACAACGAGCGCAACTTTTTATTTCTGTTGCCAACAAACTCCTCGCGAACTCACAGCAGCAGCAGCAGCGGCAGCCCGTGGCGACTCCCGCAAAAGTTTCGTGGACGAAGCGAAACGGCGCCCTCTGCCGAGCTCGACCAGCAGCAACAACAACCCCAGCAACAACAACAACCCCAGCAGCAACAACAACCCCAGCAGCAACAACAACAACCCCAGCAGCAGCAACAACCCCAGCAGCAACAACAACAACCCCAGCAGCAGCAGCAACAACAACCCCAGCAGCAGCAACAACAACAACCCCAGCAGCAGCAACAACCCCAGCAGCAACAACAACCCCAGCAGCAGCAACAACAACCCCAGCAACAACAACCACAACCCCAACAGCAGCAATAACAACAACCCCAGCAGCAGCAACAACCCCAACAGCAACAACAACAACCCCAGCAGCAACAACAACCCCAGCAGCAGCAACAACAACCCCAGCAACAACAACAACAACCCCAGCAGCAGCAGCAACAACAACCCCAGCAACAACAACAACAACCCCAACAGCAGCAACAACAACAGCCCCAGCAGGAGCAGAGTCGTGTCTGGATAAGAAGACAACTAATAAGAATGTTCAGTTCAGTTCATGTATTTGGTATAGCCCCGTGAGCCATGCGGCTCTTGACTCGGGTGCAACCGCAACAAACAAAAACATGAACAAGAAACATCTTAAAGTGACACGGTGGCTTTCGTGACCAATATTATTCATAATATAGGTGTTTGGGTCAGATCGCGTTATTTATAAATGTGTCGTAACCCTCCACCACCCGACACGGCCAAACAGTAAAACATGTGTCACGTTTTTCAAAGGACAAAATAATTCACTTCTTTAGCCCACCGGTGTGTTGAAGAGAGAATCAACAGAATTTTAAAATTTGAGGACGACGTGGTGGAGGGTTACGACACATTTATAAATAACGCGATCTGACCCAAAAACCTATATTATGAATCTTAAAGTGACTACACGCAACAGAAAAATCCAGGAAAAAACAGCAAAGTCTTCCAGAAAAAGCACCGCACATCAACGCTGTGTGCAGAAATTCCAACGGGATGCACGTCAAACAATAACAACCATAAATGTGTGCGTTTTAACCCTTTCTGGCAATTAAACAGGAGGCGTTTAAGATGTTCAAGCACCAGATGGAAACCTTTCGCGAGGAATCAAGTTCGCGCGTTCATCGCACGAACTTGTGGTGGTGATCATGCGAACAAAACTTGCTCTGATAAACATATGAAGCATTGTCTTTGAAACCGATTGGTTCTGCACCAGGGACAGCAGCCTTCTTTATGGCTAAGTCCCACCATTGTCAGACCAGAGCACAACAAACAGTACAAACAGTACAAAGACAATGCACTATCAGGCCATTCAAAGCACGGGGTGAGCAGCTACAAAATTTGACTTTTTTGCCTTTTTCAAAGTATTAAAAATAGGAATAGGTTTAACCCTACACCATGGGACCCCCTTTGCCAGTACAAAAATATGAGAATAGCTTTTCCCCTTTTTTCTGGCAACAAAACAGGTGTTAAGATGTTAAAACACCAAACTGAAAGCTTGCATATATTATCAGAGTATGCTTTTTGTTTACATTCTGACCACTAGTTGTGGTAAATGCAGACACGATTTCTTGTAAAAGGCTTTACCCTTTCTGGCAATAAAACGGGAGGTCTTAAGATGTTCAAACGCCAAATAGAAACCTTTTTGCAAGGAATCATTGCATTAACCACACGTACTGATGGTGAACACGTGCCACCTACGCACACGCCATTATAATAGATACGCACTCCACAATGAACTGGTGATGTACGTGCACAATCCTCTACGACCGTGATGTCACTACATCATCGTGTGTTGCTGCTCGCCCATCCAAGCACTTTCCAGGGTCAATGCCTGCTTAGCTTTCGATATGATCTAAATCGGGTTCCATACCGGGTGATTTGGTCAAAGGGCTGATTTTAATTGCCACATCACGTTCACCGTGCTCTATAGCTTTGCATTACCGCAGAATGTACAATTCCAGTAATCCATCCGTCATTGACCATGCCACCTTCATTTCTCAATCCATGTTTAGTGCTCGAACCGACACGACAGCTTCTTGTCTTTCCTCGTTACTTTATTTCGCGTATTTCGCTCAACATTCCTTCATCCAACATCGCTCAACGTTCCTCCAGCTAACACCGATCCACGGTTCTCCTCCGCGCTCTCCGCTCGCCCCGTTTCGCCGGCCTCACTCGCTCCCATTCACTCCTCCGTCGACTCTCCTCTCCACTCTCTCCGCCATAGTTCGGCTGCTCTTTATCAGCTCCGCCGTCCCACTCCGTCGTAACTGCATCAGCTTCTCTTCCCACTCTTTGTCGTCTCACTGTTACTCTACACTTCTCCACTGCTACCCTACGCTTCTCCACTGCTACCCTATCCTGGTACTCACTCTGCTGCTCCGACTCTCCATCCTCTGTCTCCTCCCAGGCGCGAGCTCCTGTCTACTCCAAAAACCCCTGACTTTATCCCCAAACCAATTAATTCCCAATTAATCAGGGCATCCCCCGCGACGCCACTCGCCCCCAGCCCCCGCTGCCACGTGGCATGTTTTTCCAGACACTGCGGCGCCCTTCTCCGACAACAACCCCTCTCGGCCAATCAGCGCCCTGCACCCTTAATTACTCCCTGCCACCTGCTACCATCCTCAGACATCACGCCACCTCATTTGGGAGAACAACGACCAGCCAATCAGCGCCCTGTGTCCTCATTTGCTCCAAATGTACGCCGAGTGCGCGCACCCCGGACTCCAGCGCGTGACGCGCATCTCAAGCACTACACATATATCCGTGTTGGTCATTTGCGCTTTTTGTCGTCGCTACGATTGCCAACAATTTGCGGTTGTTGATGGGCTACAAATGTGTGTCACTGGCACTCCTGCAACGTTTCCGACCCCCGTGCGCGTGTTATCTCAATGTGTGTCCACTCAGGCGTGCTGGCATCCTCTTCCTTAACCCCCTCCCATCCCCCACCACCACATTCTTGTTCACGGCCTGACCGCTCTGCCAGTGTAACCGCAGGCACCACGAACTCGTTGCTCCAGATTTGGTCCTGTGCAGTAAAAAGCAGAAGCCGCAGAAAGTCAGCAGCAGTCGCAGAGACCAGCAGCAGCAGAGATCATCAGCAGCAGCAGCAGCAGAGATCAGCACCAGCAGCATCAGCAGCAGCATCAGCAGCAGAGAGCAGCAGCAGCAGAGATCATCAGCAGCAGAGATCATCATCATCAGCAGCAGCAGAGATCATCAGCAGCAGGCAGCAGCAGCAGAGATCAGCAGCAGTAGCAGGAGTTGCTCTTTTCAAGAGCCAAGGGACCACTCCAAAGTCAGCGAATTGACTCGAAGGTCGCAGCGTCAGCCCCCTGAGTGTGATGGGCATCATGCTCTCCGACATCGTGCTGCTCGGTCTTGCAACGCTTCTCTCCGTGGTGGAGCAAGGTATTGTGTCGTTAACCCACGGAACTCGTTGCGCGTATGGTCATGTTATAGCGTCAAGTCGATTTGATGAGCCAGGCGGGAGATCAAGAGGACGAGGATTGAGCCTTGTTTGCAAGAGTGAGCTGGGTCGCCAATATGGCAAAAGGAGCAGGGTAGAACGATGAAGGAGAAAAGCAAGTGTGTCGTTTATTTATTTACGGGATTTTTAAAACAAATTCGCAGCAGATCCAATAAAATACATTCTTATGACAATTGTACATACAGATCAATTATATCAGACGTAAGACATTCCCCCTACACCGAAAGTCGGTTTGGGCAGATTATTTTTATATTGGCTATAGGACAATTAGAAAGTAAGGTTCCAGCAGCAGACATTGATTGCCTTGTACAAATATGTCAACAGTATGTCAGATGCAAGTTAAGTTATAAAGAATGCACAGCTTAGCATTTAACTGTGATTTATTTGTGAGGGTAACCAAGGACACTTGAAGTGATGGAATTGCAGATTAACAGAATGATAGCAATGTGAGTTATTTTTTCATTCTTGCTACAGTGCACTTTAGTGTCGTGGGGCATCTAATTGAGAGGTTTTTGTTTTTGCATAAATACTGTGGATATGTAAGGGACTGAAGTTATGAGTGGATACATTTACAGATGAACCTATCCCAATGAATCTCCCTAGCAAGTTGACAGAGGGTGATAACAGGTCTTGAAGTAAAGATCACAGTGATAAAGTGGAGTGTAGTAAGGGACCGTCCATAAATGACGTCACACACCTAAGGGGGGGGGGGTTTGAGAAATGTGACGTCACATCAAAATGCGCAACTTTAAATAAATATAGACAACACGTTCTACTTAATTAAATAGACTTTTTGATAATTGTTTTCTCCTACAACATCAGAGTACAGCGCCACATTAAATACGCACTACAATGACAATAGTTTAAAGCGATTTGAAGCATGTTTTATTTTTGGGGGTGGGGCAGAGCTTCGTGACGTCATATTTTGAGGGGGGGTCTGACTTTTTGTGACGCCGTGTGACGAGGTGGGGGGGATCAAAAATCGTCCAAAATCGCGTGACGTCATTTATGGACGGCCCCTAAGGTGGAATTAAATAAAGGATTGAGCAAATCTAAAGTGCTTTAAGAGGTTAATTTGTACTGTAGATGTCCTCATCACCCATTATAGTATATAAAAAATACGTTTCTTACACATCCCATCGGCGTTCTGGGAGTACAGGTACATTATTTCAGTGGCATTGATTCAGTATAGGCAAAGTGTAAGAAGTACAAGGAGCGTAAGAAATACTTTATATTTTGATGTGGGGGAGAGATACATATATAGATGCATATTGTCTGTTAACCTACCTTGTTTTACATATATTTATATTCTTCACAACAACGCTGAACATTATTTTGAGTTACGTACATAATCTTGCGTCGAACTAGGATGACACATCTATAGCATCTGGCAATTAATAATAATTAACATTTGTAAGGCGCAATTGATCCAGGGATGAATTTGCCAATTCACCAGCATTGATTTTAGCAAGCCGAATTCTGCCGATAAGTCGCATTATGTCGAAATCCAGTGCCGCTTGTGGAGTAAGACTCCACCGGTTTACACCAAACTTGACCACATTCCCGTCACGTGAACACGCCTAGAGGGCATGGCAAAAACCCAGGAAGAAAGTGGCCCCCACATGTTATTATTATTCAGCTTTATAAACATTCCAAACGCCAGGCACAATGAGTAAGCGATATGCTGCTTTGACAATCATTGCTTCTGCTCCAGATCTCACTCTCCAATGTTGTGTACGAGGAAAAAGCCATCACTGGTGTTACATTTCGCACCAACATTTTTAAATCCTTTATATTAAGTTCGCTTGCGTGCTTGCTTGCTTGCTTACGACCGTGCAAACCTTTCGGTCGTTTTTTAACCCACTTCCCGTGATCCAATGGAGCTGACATTTTGCACACAGACTCGTTGTGCGAGACAATTAATGTTCGTGAAAATTTTTTTCCAAAATTTTACACTGTTTAGGGAAAACAAATTAAATATTTAATTACCAATTGTTTAATACTGCAGACAATCATCTGACCCATAGGTGGCAGCCATCTCAAGCCAGAGGACGAGAGGACTCTAGCCGCCACACATATAAAGGATTTAGAGTGAAAAACTTTGTTTTTACGGGTTCATTTTTTTGACTTGAGTTTTTGGGAAGCCTCCACCCTGTGGAACTGCATGACCACAGCATTCATATGTTATTTGATTAATTGCACAACCTCCGTTTAAAGAGAGATGTGCATTAAAAGCGCTGTACCCAGTTTTTTATACTGTATGAGAAACGTTTGTTTACAAGTGTACTAAGTTAAAGCAACACGAGATGCGATTGTTTCAATAAGCAATGTTCATCTCTTGTTTCAAGTATGCATTTACCAAATCTATATATTTTTTTGATCGACTTAATGTACATTTCTTGTTTAAACAATGTCTCTTAATGCACCCGGACTCTTGAAACGAATAGTGCTTGCGTAAAGGTATTTTGAGGACACTTAAAAGTAATGTAATGGTCCGGATTTCCGATTAGCAAGGTTGGCTACGTACGGTGCGAAAGAAGTTCAACGTACATACATACAATGGTCACGTGCGCGCACAAGGTTCCGTGTGCAATTAAGTATGGTACTGTGTGAGATGAACAAAAAAAACATTTTGCGGTTTAAAAAAACGGCACATCCAGTCGTTGTCTAGACTTGAGGGAAGTAGATGCAGTGACTTTACCGAAAGAACCAAAGAGTAAATGTAGTGGGTTTCAATCGACCCTGCAAGCGACCACGACCTGGCTGACAACGAAGTTGCTTATCATCACGTGGGCATTTATAGTCGCCAAATAATCTAAACGCATGTTGATTCGAATTGTAACATGCAAACTCCAAATACTGTATTTTGCCGAAGGCTATGTGCAGGATATTATTATATTATACGTGCCTACCTCTGCATTTCATTTTTCCACAGCATATTTCGTCATCAAGGTGTACCAAGCCCGGCGCAAGTACAAAGTCAGCCCTCCTGCCATGAACGGACCGCCTGAATTTGATCGAATCTCAAGGGCACAGTGAGTCGATCATATTGTAGTCCCGTGTTGCAAATGGTAAACAACACACAAATGTAAAAATAACATTTGTTATAATAATAATAGGATTTTTCCCCTTTTTTGTGGCAACAAAACTGCAACTTTTTACGAGGATTCATGTCTGCATTAACCACAATACTTGCGGTCAAAATGCAAACAAAAAACACACTGATAATTTTTGCATTGTCCTTGAAACTGATTGATCCACACCAGAGACAGCTTTCTTTTGAGCCTCGTCTCAATTGGTGCTGGACCAGATGACGCCAAAAGGCGTACAGCTCAAAGACAATAGACTATCAAAGTAATGAGGGCTCGGGGTAAGCATCTACACACAATACTTGCAGTCAAAATGCAAACAAAAACACACTCTGATAATACATCCATTGTCCTTGAAACTGATTGGTCCACACCAGAGACAGCTTTCTTTTGAGCCTTGTCTCAGACATGAATCTTTGCAAAAAGGTTTCAGTTTTGTTGCCAGAAAAAAGGGGAAAAACCCTATTATATTTTGGTACTGGCAAAGGAGGTCTAATGATGTATAACATTTGTTGTTTCGCAGGGGAGTGAGCTACGGCTGAGCTACGGCTGACCATGCGTCCTTACTTGTATCTGCATAAACTGCAGCCATAGATGGCAGCGATGGTCTTAAGTAAAAAACTGGGATTTTGTCATCGATGTAAAAGCCGCAATGACCGATTACAGATCATCACCGTTGCCCTAACATGAGTATAAGCTGAACAAGTCGTCATCGGTGGAATTAATTAATTCTGGTCACGGTTGTTTTTGTATTAAGTTTCACTAATATTCTTACAAAGAGTAAAATGTTGCTTATATAGACATTATTGATTGTTGTTGAGTATTATAGATACAATAATATACTTCATAAGAAGAACTCTGTACTTGGTATTTATATAATAAATCAACATTTAAAAATTCCATTAGACTTTCCAGACTAATAATACCAAATAGTCTGGTGGACTAAGAAATATGTTTATTTATATGTGAATACAGAATGGAGTTGTACAACAAAATATTGAACCAGTGCTAAACCTTATGTGGCTACATGTGTTATTCCTTGGGCAAATTTTATACAAAATAGCCCCTGTGTTGTTATTTTTCCAACGAGAGTTACAAGCAATAAACATATCCTTTCATTTGAAAAGTTTCAGTTTGAAGCAATGGCAAACATTTCTCAACCAGCATGTTTTCTTTAGCAATTAATGCCATAGCCAATTTTAATAAAACCATTGACACTCGTAACCGCGCTGTACTTTTCTTCTTCCAGAATCAACAGCTTTGAATACTACCCAATGTTTTTAACCATCATGTGGACCGCCGGTGTATTCCAACATCAAGGTCAGATTCTCCAGTAAACATGTCAGTTGCATTCCTTGTGCAAGTTGCATATGCAGAAATCTCCAAACGCAACTGTCTACTAAGCCCATATACGGTCCAAAAAAATAAAATACAAAATAATACACACTAATTGTAATTCAAGCACATGTGAATAATTGATAAGGGTTCAAGTGAAACAGGAATCATGTCTTTCATCGTGCCCATTTGAAAAAACGAGCTACGATACTCCATGGCATACAAGATTTAGTGTGTGTTCTGATACATGCACAATATGTGTGTATTTGTCACGTGTCAGAGTGACTTCTGTTGGCTACCTGTACTGATTGTACATGTCCTCACTTGTTCTTCCCAGTCCCAGCGTTTGTAATTGGGCTCGGATACCTGGCAGCGCGATACAAGTACTTCCACGGCTATGCTGAGGCTGCTGAACTGAGGTGACTACTCCATGCACCGCATTCGCGAGGCATAATCATTACGTACACGGTAAGGCCTTGGTTAATGCGGGAGATGCGATCCTGAAAAGTCCCGCGTTGAGCGAAAAACGCGTTAAGCGAAAACAATTCCCCTCCCCCCATAAATAATGTAACGATAAAGTTTGGCGAGATACGATGTGCGCGCACACAGTGAGATGGCGGGGAAAATAACTGGGGGTACACCACCATGTTACTGTATCATACCGCATTTTGTATCGTACTGCGCAGTCGCACAGCTCAAGAAAGTTCGTCGTTGACTGCTCAGAAACCGTGTTGTAAACGGAGCACGTTTCACGTTGTGTGAAGTGTTCCCAAGTGGAAGAACTGCGTTTTATCGAAAACGCGCTGTGTGAACACCACGCGTTAAGCGAGTACTTGCCGTAATGGTTGCTGTTATTTCATTTTAATGGGATACAGCTGTACTGGAGCCCCAGGCTTAAAATTTGAATAATTTCTTTTACTGGCCGTACTTCACCACACTGGTAAGTGTAGGGTTGGTGGAGATGGGGAGCAGAGATGTGGGAGCGTACATTTGAATTACAACCATGTATTTGGCTGCACTGCCCTTTGCTACCCCGGAGCAGCCCAGTTATACCTGCTGGCTCAAAGTGAGTAGAAGGAAATGTTGTGTTGTTGCTCGTCACTGCCCACCATGTGCCCGAACGCAGGGTTGTTCCACTGCGTGTGGCTGCGCTGATGCTGTGGATACTGGTGGGGCTGGCTGCAATCGGAATCGGCAAGGTGATGGTCTACAAATATGCGTACAAGGACATTCTCCGCGTCTCCAGATATTTCATGGATAATTAAAATTCTGCCGTGACCCAGGCTGTATTTTTGTTTGATTTTGCAAGTAGCTTTTCACAGCTATTCGCATTCCAAGTGGTCTTTCTCTATTAAACCACCTGTTAAGTATTGCTTCCCTAAAGCTTTCACCGCAACAATTGCAGGCATCAACTTGTTATTTTTTGCCAAAACAGTTATGGACGATTGTGTTGTGCTGAGCAGCAGGGAATAGGTCTTGCCGTGACATATATAGTAACCACAATTGTATATTTCACTTGGTTCGTTACTGATATGACAGTTTCACGTTTTGAATGTTATATTTTATTACATTCGTGTTTGGTATGCATTAAATGGCAATTCCATGAATGATGGGCTGTAAATGTACATCTATGAGGTCCAGTCAAAGAAGTTCATGCAATGAATGTATTACATCCATAATAGTTCAGCCATGAGTTTATAATGTAGGCTTCATTCACATAAGTCCTGTTCCACACCAGTATATTGCTTCCCCATTGATCACGTACCAATACATTTCAGTCAGTCCAGGGGCCCAAATACAGATTTTTTGTAAAATCTGGCAGGCTGTGAATGTTGTAGGCAAATATGTAAATCCGAGTGAGGTCGCAAATCTAAGGGTATAGCAGCAGTTGCTAGGGATGACGTCATCACACCTACTGTGCTAACTAATTGGCTGACTGGAAGAGACCCCCATGCAACATGGCCATCATGATGTCATTTCTCTACACTTGAGCAGGTCTTTGATTGAGGTAAGTCCAGTATAATTATGTAATTAATGTTTAATATAATCGTTATTAATGCAATTATTATTGTGAATGTATTAAATTAGTGTTAATTATTGAATTGTATGAGGTTTATTTTTACAATTGACATAGGAGTAGTCCTGACCACCCCTGGTTTATCTCCTAACTTTTGCGGTTTCATCAACTCCCTTTCATGGTATCGGAGTTATGACAAGTGTTAGGCAAGGCAATTTCTAAAATCGCACAAGTCTTTCTGCACTTGGGGCCCCTGGACGTCTTCAGATTAAATTTCTTTATTTTCCTAGATGTTTTCTAAAATGCTTTCGATAGCTTCGGACACGTATGCTTGGGTTGACTCAGATCTGTGAGGCGAGTTCCCTGGATGAAGCTACAAATTGTTTCTTTCAAAGCGAGCGTCATACGCTCCATGCTGTGCTTTGGGTGTTGTAACACCCGTGCGTTTGGTAGTGCGACTTGCTCAATCTAACATGAAATTGTTTTGCACGGTTGCTGTTGCCCCGCGATAACTCACATGGTGCCTAACTTACACTGAGAGTGTCATCTGCTTGTGTGAATGCCCTGCTGAATAACGTGACTGCGTTGAGGTGGTGAAAAGATCTCAGGAATGTTTTATCCAAAGGTGCATTTGATTTCTAATTGTCTTTTCAATCCCAATGAAATCATCCAACAAACCTTTGATTGGGGCTGGACATTGATGCCATTTTAACGATAGTTTTACCAATAAGTGGACATCCATTGCTGCACGAGATAGTTTACAGTGATAATTTTTGTAATTCAGGTATAACTTGGCATTTAAAATGCGTAATAAGAAAAAACGCATGGAAGCGGAGTAAAGTGTTTTAGATGTGTGCGGATGAAGGCCTAAGCATTTGAAGGTTATTTGGTTATCCATCGCCATGCTGGTAATTGCTCAGGGAACATAGGTGGTGGATGAGAGCTCAATACAACATTTGTTTTGGTGAAATTGCCTATGCTGACAATGTTGCCCACAACAGCCTACAACACGTGTCTGAGCACTGACAAAACCTTGATTACATCGAGGTCATTCCAGTTGATTTGGTCATATCTATTTGCCATTTTATACGAAGTGAAATATTTTTTGTATGGTCGTTGTCTTGCACCACATTAATGGGAAGTATAGTATTAATAGTGTGAATCCAGGTCTTTATTAAGTGTGATTGCCATGTACAAGTTTTTCATATTTAGATTAATATTATAATTCAAATTGTTTTTTTTACTTCTAATTAACTAATACGTGTCATGTTTCTAATTTAAATGTGTACTCTGAAATAAATGGCTACCAAGAACTATACAGCAATTGTTACTCATTTTGTTACGTGGCAACAAACGGTGTTATTTGTTCATCGTTGTTATCATCAACCAATCCTTCACAGTCCTGCAATGCCACAATCTATCTCACTCCTGCACAAACACTTATCTTATTTGTTCAACTCTGTGGATAAGCCGTCATCGTCACTGGTGCATTCTCTCCTTTGGCTACCATTCTGTTGTCATCCCTGAGATTCATGTGTCTGTTTGACTCCGACTAGCACGGCAAAAAAGTTCACACATACATAGTATGATTCTGATAATGCACCTCTGTGCATTTCCAGATATCCACGCTTCTTCACAGCACTTAATCCATGTTTGTTGTACAGAGTAAGAGCTCATCGAGTCAAGAAGAAACCAGGAACATAATATCACATGCTAAAAAACTGCAACTGAGATGTTTCACCACGTCTGATCTTGCGGGGGAAAAAAATCAAAACACGTTTGCGCTGGGTGAGACGTGTGCAGCATGGGTGAGGATCAATTGATGAGACGGGCATTGGAGTGGTCTCCATGAATCAGCTGAGAGAGGGGGAAGACCTGAGACTTGAGGTTGCCTGTCCACTTTGCAGTCGCTGTGGTATCTGGCAGGAAGTGGAAAACGTTGGAAACGTGTGGTGCTATCAATAGCTTTTGCCATGTTGACATCCTGGTCTTGAATTATCTTAATACATTTCTAAACTATCTTCCAATTCCGATTTAAAGCTTTCGTGACTGCGGGGATTCATATTCTTGGTTCTTTCGGTAAAGTCACATAGAAGGAAAATAATAAAAGAATACAAATAAAACAATAAAATTCCTTTTTTTTAATCCTTTATATTAAGTTCGCTTGCTTGCTTAGGACCGTGCAAATCTTTCGGTCGTTTTTTAACCCACTTCCCGTAATCCAATCGAGCTGACATTTTCCACACAGACTCGTTGTGCGTGACAATTAATGTTCGTGAAAATTTTTTTCCAAAATTTTACACTTTTTAGGACAAAAATATATTTAATTAGCAATTGCTTAATGGTGCAATGCAATCATCTGTCCCATAGGTGGCAGCCATCTCAAGCCAGAGGACGAGAGGACTCTAGCCGCCACGCATATAAAGGATTTATAGTGAAAAACTTTGTTTTTACGGGTTATACTTGTTGTTAAGATACGAGTCCATGCATAACAATCTGGGGCACTTGTAAGAGATAAAATGGGCCTCCAGAGCTTCCTCTCTCTGGTGGAGCCCATACTGCCAGCATTAGCGTGAGCAGGATAATGCAGGGAGGAGGTAACTTTACCACCTTTTACAATTGGGATCCTCTTTATGCCGCTCGTAAGTACAGAAATACCTAATTCTGCACTCAAACATTGCACCTTGTGCCTCTGAAGTCCCCATCAACCACAGAAGATCGAGAGGAACACCTTCGAAAAAAATAAACGAAAGCCAAGTTACAGGAGTGCGATCGTGGCCATGCAACCTACATTATGCACCATTTCGTCTTCTTATTTCTTATGCCTTCATTTAAATTTTCAGTCTAATTTATTTGGTATAAATTTCGATTTAAAGCTGTATTCGTGACTGCAGGGATTCATCTTCTTGGTTCTTTCGGTAAAGTCGTCACGTAGAAGGGAATAATAAAATAATAAAAATAAAACATAATAAAATACAATTCTCACGACGTTTCGGCCACAACGCAAGCAGCCGTCCTCATGTGAAGAGCAGGTCTGTCGGAAAGACAGCGTCTGAATAAACACCACCAAGCTTGGCAGCGTATATTTAAGCTGGGTTAGAGGAGGAAGGGCGCCTTGGCAAAGAAATTTGCATATCAACAGATGAATTTAGCATATTTATGGTAAATGCAGATATGGGATTAGTCACTACTTGTGGAATGCGTAGGAGGTAAGGGGGGGTCTCAAAGTCATATTATGCCCGTGCATTATGTAGGATTAGCAGCAACAAAGGGAGGAAGTAGGGTTAGCAGTAATAAAGGAAAGGAATTTTAATAGTAAGGAGCTGTAGCAGCTGCACCAGCTCCTTAACCCTGTGAGCCATTCGGCTCTTGAATCGGGTGCAACCGCAACAAACAAAAAACAAAAACATGAGCAAGAAAACATCTTAACAATGCCTGATGTGTAGATGCAGAGCAGCAACTCCAATCTCACATTCAGGTGGTCAAGCCAGGTAACTGCAGCATGAGCAGCGGAGTGTATTGCTGTGACGTCTCTTTCGTATTTGTGGATCGGCCATACGCTGTACGGTCTGTTCTGGATGACCACAGTCGCCATATAATGAACCACTGTCGTCTGTGCTGTTTCGATGACGGAGGAATTGCAAACCACACCAATTATCCCCTGAAGCCCCTTCGTTGTGGCTAGCAGACCTTGACATCGGCATTTAGCTCCTGAGACAGTTTCCATCACACGCAGGAGTAGAATACTGGGCATCCTTTGGGATGTTTTCGCCGTGGTCGCATTTAGAAACGTACGTTAAGATTATTTAGATTATTTTTCTGCTATAAATGTCCACGTGATGAGCCACTTCATTGAGCTATCATTTGTGGCCACGTCGCTTCTGGAAAATAAGCGAATAGCTCAGTGAGCTTTATCTGGTAAGATAAAAAAAAGAGTTACATTTTATTTGGATATTTTAAAAATGATTACCGTAGTTTACCTTTCCTGTACTATGCACTCCTGTCGTGTTTTTCCGTTTATTTTTGTAACGTTATACTGGACCACCTGTGAAAAAAAAGCTTTATAGCTCATCGGATTCCCCCAGGACAAACACAACACAATATCCTCATTTTTCTGAGGTTTTTATTCATAGTCTCAAGCCGCACCTTACCATAATAATAAAAAGTGGGCCGTTCCTGGCCCTTCCCCCCCCTCAACCATTATATATACGGAGTGGTATCTCTTGTAATCTCTCATTTACTTGATACAGCTGTCGGGCTGTGACGGTTCCACCTGAATACGGAAGCTTGTGTTGCCTCCGAAACGTCGTGATTTTTATTTAATTTTTTATTTTACTTTTATTAATTTTAATTTTTTACCTACATAACTTTACAGAAAAAACCTAAGAATATGAATCCGTGCAGTCACGAAAGCCTCAAATCTAGAATTAATATTCTCATTCTTAAACTCCGGGCCGCGTTTCCCCCACGCACGACCACGTGGCGGCGCTCGAACGCGTGCGCGCGCGCGTGACGTCACAGGGGCGATGACGTCACCGCGCGGAACCAGCATGGCCGCCGCCGCCCCGCGGTGAGCAGGAGCCGCTCCCGTCGTCCGCCTCCTCCGCCTCCTCCACCTTCTCCTCCCCGTCCTCGCCCCTTTATTTATTCGCCCTTATCGCCAAGGAGCCCGCGGCGACACCGACATGGAGAAGAGAAGCCGCTCGGATTCGGACGCCGCGGAGAACGCGCATCACAGGTCCGCCCGCCGTTCCGTCTCCTCCTCCTCCTCTCCGCGTAAATCCCCGCGCAGTCGAGGGCGGCTCGCACCTGTTGCTCAAAGTTTTCTCGCGTCCGCTTCGGCCTCCTTCGTCGGTTGTTTGTTCGGTTGTCATCGTCGTCGTTGCCAATCGTCGCACTCGTTCTCTCGAACGACTTCAAACTCGGTACCCCCCCCCCAACCACCACCACCTCCTTGCGGCCTAAGCGGCGGTGTCGCGCACCGGTCTCGACTAGAAGCCCAGGCCGCCTCCGTCGCGTCCCGAGCCCGCAGCGCGGTGACGGCGTGAGCCGTCGGTGCAACGGGGAGGAGGGGAGGTTTCAAAGCGACGGGGGGCGGGGGGAGGTTCGACGTGGTGGTAGGGGTGGTAGGGATGATGATGATGGTGATGATGTTGTTGTTGGCGACGAGCAAGGAGGTAGGAGGGTAGAGGCGTGCGCGTGTGTGATGGTGTCCGATGTTGGCAAGGCTTTGCGAGGGCGCGGCGGAATGCACGCACAGAGTCTTGGCAGAGGGACCCGGGGCGTGGATGCGATGCCGTCCCCTGCTCCCCCCCCAGTGTGCTTCTGACAGCAGAGAGAGAGAAGAGAGATCGACCCACGGGTGACTCGTTGCGAGCGATGTGTTCACGCACACACCGCACACTCGTGACAACTACTTGGTGGGGTTGGGGGGAAGCCGCACCGATGTGTTGTCAACTGAGACGAGAAGCTGGTTACGGTTCATCTCCTTAAGCCACTGAAAGTTGGGGTGTTTTTTTTATTCTTCTTCTGCTGTGGGAGATCATTCGGAACCCTTTAAAAATAGCGGCTGCTCTCATGTCCAGCCCCGGAGAGGCAGGAACCCCCCCTCCACCCGTTGCAAGCCTCGCCCGGGATCGCGGCTGATGCAGAAATCTCCCACGGCCAGCTGATTACCCCCCTGTTTCACAGTAAAGTGAAGTTATCTCTTAATCGGTAGAGTAATCGATTACTTAATCGGATATCCCTGCGCAAAATGTGACGTTTTAGACTCGTTTCACGGGACGCTCGTCTTCATGAGAGGGCTCTCAGTACGCATGGCGACATCAATGTTGGAGACTGCTTAAGAATACGATGCCAGCTACTGTCGTTCAAGCGACTTCTTCTTTATAAAAACGAGAAGAGTTTGGCCTCCACGGGACGTCATCTTCTATAGGTAATGTGGAGGCGAGTTAGAAATGAATAAACAATAACATTAAGGGGTATTTATTTATGTCAAAACAACGTATTGACCATTATTAATGCTATAACATGTTATAAAACAGTTGTCCCTAATCATCCATAGGCCACGAGTGTTAAGTGTGAAGTAGAGTACTGAGGTACTGAAGATAAACATTTTATTGACACAAAGCAATTTTTGTAAAATTACAATAACTGTTTATGTATATCCTTATCGTTCCTCTGCTAAAGTGGCTTTACCTGAAAGAAAATCACTGGCCGCTGTTCAGATGTGTTGAGTCGTGTTCTAAGACGGGGTCGTTTATGAAGTTTGTCTTAAATCGATGAGTTGGTGAACTTAATAGTTGTCCTAAACGTGTG